TTTGTTGATAATTTTTGTTGCCCCCAGGGCGCTCCTTGATAACAGCTGTTTGCTGACGAGCTTACCCTGGTAAAACATGTAATTATTATTATTATAATTATAATCTTTTCGACATTTTAGATTTTGCAATAAAAAGAACTTGTATTTTAATATTGTAAATGTCAGTTAATAAAACTAGTAAATAAACCTTTCGAAAGTTTAGTTACTATTTTAAGATCTTCCATATAAAGGATATTTTCCATAAACCGTAAACTAAGCAACTGATGCAGTCTAATCACTAAGTATTTGTTTCAGAACTATTTTGTTAAAAAAAAAGAAGAAAAAAATACGTTGGAAAAAAACGGCGAACAAGAAGAAAAGCTGCAAAAATGCTTAAATGACTTTATTCAAGGGAATTTTGGTTATACAGCAAATTCTTGTCCTATATTTGCTAGATTCGGATTTCTTTGGAGGGTCATTCTTCCCTGCATTGTTAGAAACTTATCTATGTATATCTAGCAAAATAGTCGTTTTTTGAGTATAAATCTAAAGTAAGTCAAGATCTAAAGAAACTATTCTTCGTAAGGCAGACTTCCTAAGGCGTTAATTTTCCTAAGCTAGCGTCATTTCTTCTGGTTCAATTAGTACGTACACGCCTATCGAAACTCCATAAAAGTTGTTTCGAGCATTGGTACTGTGTTATAATAAAACGAACGATAGTTGTCATGGCAACAGCCGCACTTCTGTTAAGTTGTCACTGTGTATGTTATTAATGATGCGCTTGGTCGTTCCGTGATTGCTCAAGACGCACTTTCGTAGTCACATATTATATGAGATGGTTAATTTTCGAGCCGGCCCGTTTTTCTTTAACAATCTTTGGTAAATCATGCAGAGAATACTGACTGAACTTCAATACCGACCGGTATCAAAACGATTCAGTTTATAATGAATACTCGAGTTTTGAATTCTCTGTTGCTCAGGGTTAGCCTCGATGTAGTACAGAATATTCAAGTGTTCCATTCAAGAGCCTTGACTATTTTAATTTAGCAGACACACGAAGAAAAGTATGCGTAGGCATTAAATTTAAGTCACGTGATAAGCAGCCCATCTCATCAATCAATTTGTAACATAGTGGTATTGATTGACAGCTGCCACATTTAAAATTAATCAAACTTTACAAGAAGATATAACTAGCTAAAAACTAGTGTGAGCTGCGTCGGTGTTTCTAATGAAACAGTAATGATGAAAAGGTAAATTACCTTTTTATCATTACTGTCAAACTTTACAAGGAGTGGTGAGCAATGAAACTGTTCAAAGACTACTCAGGCTACACACATGCAATTGCAAAATTTTTCCATTTCGCAGTCGAGAAGGAACCAGAAATTATGAAAAAAGAAAAAACTCAAAGCAATTTTACGACTGGTAATACATCTCATATCAAAGTTATTGGCTTTATTTAATCCAGTGCATGGCAATGGCTTCTTGCGATCAATCATTGTTTCTCGTCAAATCAAAACTCTAAACTACCATACCAGTTGAACCAAACACATTCTTGATACATTTGAGAATTTTTAAAAAAAGTCCGTCTTTAAGAAATGGTACTTTAAATAAATGCACTTTTTGATTTAAGACCTGAAATTTTGAACTTGAACTATAGGAAAAACCAAAAAGCTTATTGTTTTCACTTTGTTTCCATTCGTACGTAGTACGTAGTTGTACGTAGTGTATATGGCCTATGAAAAAGGTCAAATAATACGAAAATATGTAACTAAATTAAATAAAAAGAGGGAAATTTTGAAGTTGTAGTTACCTAATTGGGAAACATTAAAAATTCTGAGTACATATTTGTGTCAGACGCGGAAATACGGACTTACCGTGAGACGAAGAAGTGAAGTTCTTGGAAGACAGAAGACGACTAAACGAAAATCAAAGTGTGTTGACGTCTTAAGAAGGGTTTTATTTGCTTATTCAAAGTTGATTTGCATTCCAAGTATTATCTTAGGGGACCACACTTGAGGTTTGTCACTACTTGTTAGCTTCAGAACTCGAAGAACAGCTTCAAAAAGAACCATTTGTGACAAGTAATTAGTGGAAAAACAACCATGTGGAAGCCACTCAACCACGTAATAAAAAAGCTGGAGTCTATTTCTTCCTTTACTTTAAATCTGTAGGATTATAATGGTGTATTCTTAAAGGATTAACCAGGGGAACAAAAAACATGTTTGGAAATTTAACTATTTTTAGTGTTTTTAAATAAAAATAGGTTTTGACTTGGAGCTTCGTTTGATGTGAAATTTCAATTATTTTTAAATGGCACAAATTTTCCGCTTTCGTTGTCCCAATTCTGGTTTATTTGTTTTTACTTCAGTCTTGCTCATATTTATTCATACATGTATATTCATATCTCTCAAAAGGGAACTTGAACAATTGTGTAATATTTTTGAGGATCGAACTATAGCGACTTTGTTTCATCGAAAGGATAGTTTTACTCTGAGCTTCTAATATTAATAATTTTCACAGCCGCCATGTTGGTGGAATTTAACAAAAGATTCGTGATTATTCTCTTTTGTTATATCATCCAACATGGCCGCCGTGTCTTGTGTTATTTCATTCTCAGTTGGGAATGATTGAAAACCAGAAATTGCGAAAGTAGAATCTAGACAGTCCACCCGATACTGGGTCTATACTGCAACTAATTAAATCTAGTGTAAATCATAAACGATTATTCTTACATTACAGAACTGAACCATTTGTTTCTTGTTCAAACTTTGGGAATAATCACGCAATAGAATTACTTCATAGTGACTAACGTCGTACATATACTTACTTAATCAGTGTACTAAATAAATATCGAAAGAGCTGCACAGGAGTTAAAATAACTCAGCTTAAAAGCTTTTTTGCTTAAAAATGCTTGTTCATGATCCTAAGGAGAAACACTTTTAATTCCTTTCCCATCTTGAGTACATTTTTCCTGACGTTCAATTTTGTTTCGGATACATGTGTCATTTCTGTTGCTTTTGAACACGTCTGGTCTAAATTAGGATTTCAAGGGCTGCTATGTTTGGCACATTTATTTCATGGACTGTCTAAGACCTGTTTGAACTCTAAACAAGCTGGGAGTTTTCAGCCTTTGAAAGCTCTTAGCATTAGCGTCAGTGCCACAGGGAATAAAAACACACACACAAAAGAAAAACTTGCCTATTATTTCAAATCGATTGCATTTAGTTTTAATTCAGTTTATAGAGCTACAGGGAACCAAAAAGACTTGTTCAACTTGTCGATATTTTCAAAACGATTTTTTTTTTCATAGTTTAATTCAGTTTTGAGAAATATAAACAATTTTTTTTTCCTAAGCACTCTCATCATTAACTGTTGTGTCATTCACAGGCCGATAGTTTATTTCTTTTGTCAGACTTCAGGCTTCAAAAACTAAAATTAGGCATCTCAACAAGCCACTGTGCCACTAAGTTGGGATCTATGAATACAGCCAAGATAAAGTAAGGCTTAGATATTCATTGAATTTTAGTTGCGAGGAATATAACCGTTTTTTTAACCGTTCGTTATTTCAGCTAAATTATGTTTTTTTCCGACTATATTCTTAGTTGTTGTTTTCCCCCCGCGATTCAGATCAATATTTAGATCACTATTTTTTCTATTGAGAATTTGTTTGACTGTTTCTCAAGTGCTTTGATACCTTGTTCAGTAAACCAGCTATAATGGACTTCCTAATGACTGCAGCAAAAAGTGTTGTGTTTTCACCTCGTTGTCTTGGAAATGTGTCATGCGCAGTAGGAACAAAACACACCACTTTTCGCAAAAAAGAAAAAAAAACTTAGAAAATATTAAGTCCACGGTGTTCTTGAAGTGTCAACAATCTTTGAATATTAAAATGAAAGTAATTTCGTTGCTCTTCTAATGTTTACAAAGGGACTACGGAACAATGAATGGTAAATTTCCGGCTTAATAGATATACAAGCACCGAAACAAAGTCATAATATTGATATGAAAACTCTAGTATAATTCGAATCATTTTCCAAAAAAAAATGGACAGACGGACGAACGGGTGGACGGACGTATGGATGGATGGATAAATGAAAGAAAGGATAAATAAAAAAAGAAGAAATAGGAAAGAAAAGAAAAGGAAAGATAAGATAAGATAAGAAAAGGAACTAAAATGTTTTTGAGATAAGTGCTTGGGAAATTTGGCGGTTTTATCATGTTTAACTTTCGCACAAGTATGACGGACACTGAAATGGTTTCCTATTATTTTTTGTCCAATCAGAGCATCGTAGAGCATTGTCATCACATTCTAAATGCACTCTCATTGATCGTTACTTCAGTATTCGCTAAACTCTTTTGCCAACTGAAAATATATAAGTCCACTGGAAACTCTAATACCTGTAAATTCATAGCATTCTAAGGTTTTCAGAATCGATGAATGTTCTCTATTTTTTTAAATAAATGTGTTATCCTAACTGATCTGATAGCGCAAGGTGCAGTTGCTCTGAACTGAGTTGAACTTGAAATCCGGAGGTAGTCGCCGGCAAAGTCATCGATGCGATCAGATACCGAACTAAAATTTCTCAGCCAAATTGTCCAGTACATCTTACAGTGGGCGATGTATTAAAGAAACCTGTTTTTCGCATTGATCGGCGACAGCAAATATTTTTAGAACGACTTGCCGGCACCTTTATGTGTAAATTCTGTACCTATTCTGTATAAATATGGATAATATAATTAAAAGAAAGTGGTACATTAAAAAAATTCTAATAATTAACAATTAAACTGCACTATTCGTTAGGAAACACTTACAGTACTTGATTTTAATAGTTGTTGCTCCACCAAATGACATGAAGGAACTTTAGCTCCCAACTTAATAAATTTTATGAATACATACGAACACCCATGTTTGCTTTAGAAAGCCACGATATGACAATATGACCATTTTGCTGAAAAACTTTTGAAAAGTCCTTGCCAGTGTAGTGTAGTTACTCATCGGCATTAAATACTGACGATCCTACTCATTTTGAATGAATTAGAATTCTATGTTAGATTTGCGTAATCACGTTTGATTAAGGACTTGTAGGATTCGAGTTGTTCAGAGTAAAGTGCGTACACCCTCAACTAGAAGCAGAGCTTCGACAAGTATTAGCTTAGAACATTCTAGCCACCCTTTGTGCCAAGTCCGTAAAAATGACGTATTTTGACATAGACTTCTCAAAAACGATTTATTAAATCCCGTCTGGTTTGAGAAGAGCTAAAGCAAGCTTTACCAAGACGGCATTTTTATGGGATTTTTTGACATTTGCAATTCCGCAAAAGAAACCGACATTTCAAGCTGTCTTATTTTCAGGGAATCAATGGAATTACAATGCATTCACAATTAAAGTGCTTGACGCATGGCATCTTCTGTGTAGCCTTAAGTTAGACATGTTCAATCCTCTGGTATAAAATACTAATCTAGATCCTTTGGCTATGTACACTAATCCTGAGATAAGTATAGTTTAACTTTTCAGAACCTCACTGGAGCCGGTGCCGCTTACCTGTGTTGCGTGGTTTCCCTGAATATCGGTTCAAAAAAATCTTTTTCTCAGTTCAAGACGGTTAAAAGATTCTCTGTAGATTGCAGACGTGTACCAAACGAAGGCTCAGAAATGCGAAGTAAAGGTTATCGGTGGCTCCATTCACGTTATTTTCCGATGTTATGGCCGAACTTCCTTCCTACCTTTTTTTGAATTGTTAAGAGGCTGTTGGCCGTTGATTGAGCGGTATTTATCTCTCAAGAGTCTTACCTGACAACACTTTAGAAGAATAGAAAACAATGAATATGAAAAGCGATGATCACGGTCGACGATATCAACTTGTTGACTTTAACACCTTATGATTATTACGATCGACTTGTGCTCTCTGTTAAAGAAAGTGGAGAAAAGAACCAATCTAATTGAGCTTAAAACAAACAATTTTTCTTCACCAATCAGAAACAAAAGAAGAAAATAATTGTTGACTGGCGTGTTGACAAGTTGATCTCTGCCAGTGTTTTTCACGGCTGTCGAGTTTGTTCAAACATTAATAGACAGCTCCCCGATTAAGCTTGGACCCTTTGAATAATAGACTGAGCTTGGCTCAGTACACAGATCTTTCAATCTGAGATGGAGTTAGATGGCCCGTCAACTTTGACTCCTCTTACAGCGCGTGTAACTTATAACCCCTTGTTATCTGCCGATTAAATCCGGCGGGAGTTTTAGAGATGGTAGCTTAGGAACCAAAAGCTGGTACAGGAGAAAACGTCCTCTAGAAATTAAATAATGGAGCAGTCACGTCTTCCAATGCGAGGAAAGACCAAAGACGCTGAAGCGGAAGCGTTGTTAAAACTCCTTCGACAAGAGCAAGAGTTTCATAATCAAGTCTCAATACCTGAAATACAAAGAAAACAGCCTTTACCGGCCATCAGAAGTAAGGCTAGCGATTCAATAACCGAGGAACACGAAGGCTCAGGAGTTTTTATCAGCCAAATGCGGACCACTAAAGATAGGGATCAAGAAATCCCTCTTAATGTCGACTCTCAGTTTTTATGGAACGCTAGAGGAAGCTTAAATCGGAATAACAATGATAGCCACTTTACGGTTGCAAGTCGGCCGGCTTACGAGTGGAAAAAGGATTCCAGTAATGTAAATTATAGTAAATTCGAAAGACAAAGAAGACCAAGCAAAAATTTACCTCCTCTTGGACCACAGCAAACCTCGCCACGCGATCGAGGAGAAAGGCCTTCTAGACCGCCTCCTTCTTCACCGAAATTTTGGGAAGACGAGAAGAACGAAGGGCGATTCTAAACGTTTGTAGGAATGATCTATCGCGAGCTTGAACTAGGAGTACACGAGCAAGATTTGTCCGATAATAAGGGATATAAAGTGATAATAAGGGATAGAAGGATGGATTAGACCGTCATTAAAAAAGCCTTTGACGTTTATACTTTCGCTAGTAGCTATGGCAAAATAGAAAAGGTATTTAGAGTCCATTCCATGCAATCTATCTCAAAAAGGACCAATTAAACCCCTTTTAGATCTTAAAATTGTGGTTTTATCGTAGTTTTGTGTGGTTGGAACGATGGACTGTTTATTTGCTGTTGCGATGAAAGTCACGAGCCAACAGTACTGTTGTTGACCCTTCATGGACTCGCTCAATTGTGGATTTCCGCCGGTTCCTTAAGTCGATTCTCAATAAGATATAGAAACAAGAACACCTTTAAGGTATGGACTTAAGGTACCAAGGTGTGAATCAATTTATATAAACCCACTTGGTTACAATATGGAGAAGAATGTGCGTGGTTTCATGAGCAAACGACATCAGCAAGTTTTATGGGGACTTGATCAGGTTCCGAGAAAGAAAACTTTTGAAGAATAAAAAAAAGAAGAAGAAGAAGAAGCATAGATGATTGATTTCTGCTGTGCTCTTTACAGTTTCGTCTGTTAGTTCAAAAACTCTCTTGTAGTATTAAAACAATTGATACAAAGCCAGTTCAAGGAAAAGGGTCAGTTTTTCAGCTCGACTCAAAGTTTTGTGGAGAACGCGACAACTGAATGACTACCGGCACGGTTTTGTGATGGGAAAGCTGAGCAATGTATTTGCAAGGATGGAAACTACACAATCGAAGACTGCTAAAATTAAAATGATTACTCAGATGATGACGATGGGAAAGTAAAAAAGTTTCTAAAAATCGCCTAAAGTTATGGAACGGGGTTGCCATGTTGACAAATCAAAAAGGTTGTTTTCAAAGAGGTTTAGATGTAGAATGTGTGGTATGTGGAAAAACCCTTTGGGCCATACACATCTTATCCAAAATGTCCAAAAGATAAATTTTCTATTTAAATTCTTCAAGGTTCTTCTACAAAGCCGTCGTAATTTCACAAGGAATTTATGAATTTTGTCACACAGTGATGACTATTTCTTAGTATTAAACTTTTGAGTCTCTCAGTAAGAACGAATTTGCATACCCAACGAGGAGTCGTATTTGCACAGGTCATTCGAGTCAACAAACCAAAGCGTTTGCCTAAGTCCAGTTTTACTTTACCTATTGAACATAAGATTAATTCTGCAAATAGGTTAACGAATGATTGAATACCAATTGTAATTTCAGTAGAGTACGACTTATTATCAAATCTCTCTCCTTCAAAACAGACCGACTGGAGAATAGTGGCAACGTGACGAAAGTTTGTAAACTTTGTAGTCAAGGAAAACAAACAAAGATTTAAAAAATTATATAGAAAAATGYATTTAAATTAGTTTCTTTTACTGAAATTTATAGACTTGGAATAATAATAAACTTTATATAGCGTATTGGTCAGTTATTTTATGAAGTTGGATGCAGCCTAATCTTCGTCCCACGCTTCTTTTACTCAAAACTAAATGCCACAGTTTTCTTCGATATTCTTTGAATATACATCAAGGATCTTGAAAATAATTTTCATCGCAAAGATAAGGCTGCATATTGCAGTTTAAGCATCTATACACTCAGTGAGCTCCAACTGCAGAAACTGCTCGAAGTGGCATGGCCTGTCGTCGATTGAGCTTGAAGTGAGTATGTACCCATAATCCTTATCGGCCTGCTGCCACATTTTAAATCTAACAACTAAGATGTGTATAAAAAGTTTAAAGGTATACTTAACTGACTTTAAGATTGGAATGATGTAAATAATGGTTGAGCAACGCACAAAAAAGGTATACTTAACAGACGTTTCGAACGGTTTTTCGTATTTTTAAGGTGACTATTGGATTAAGAGGTATGGGCAAGGATATAGTGATTTCATAATGCAGACCTCCCAAGCCGAAAAGATCAGTAAAATGTAAGATGTAATAAATAAGTTTAAAAAAGCTTTAATTTATCACTAATCCGCTCGTTTTAATTGCATGATTTGAGGCATTAACTCACCAGTCTCTAAGGTGTAAAAACGATCCCGCAGTCATAGTTCATTACCAGTAAAGAAAGAGTTTCGAGGAAGTACCAACGCACAAGACCCCTTGCAGGATATTCCTAACGCGAGCATCTAAATTGAGAAGATGTCCAAAAATAACAAAATTATTGAGTTATGATTTTTTCTTTTCTTTTTTTAGTTTCTTGTGACCGTTAAAGCCGCAACTACACCAATCAAGGCACCCAAATAAATTTTCACACAAATTAGCCAATCACGATCGAATATTAAAACTATATAATCTAACCAAATTTGCACCCTATTTTTTGTCTTTAAAGCATAGATTTTACTTTATATGTGTGTGTATGGCCAAGATGAATGAAATACGAAACAGCGTGTAGAAATCGACACTATCCTGTTGTTCAGCGTCACAAATGTGATTCAGGAAACAGAATTAGAAATTTTTTTGGGGTGCCTTTATTGGCGTAGTCGCACTTTAACTGCGAGTTTTGATTGACGAATTGTAAAAACGGAAAAAAGCCACGTACGTGCTGTAAGTCAGGACCTCAAGGTTCCGAACTAATATTCTTACTTGACACAAAGCTGTCATCATATTTTCACAGAAAAAAAAACTATCTTAAACAATTTGTTGTGAGTTATGATTGCAACAACACAGCTATTTTAATTGCTCACAAGGATATCCACACAAACCCGACAGCTCTCTATTGAATCTCTCTTACAATGTCAACCTAACGGCCCAGACTGTCGACTCTTTTTCTCTACGTCAAGCATTAACTCATTAGGATACCGCCCTCGAATACAGTCCTTAATCTACGGCAGAGAATAGCAAGGATTATCTATTCTTGATGTGCATGTTACGTCACAGTCGCTATCTTGGTTAATGATAATAAAGCATTCCTCATTGGTTTTTCTTCTTAGAGCAACCAACATGGTGGCTGTTTTTCATTGTTATTTTGTATCTCAAGGGATTTTGAGTCATGTGGTTGCACTCCATGAATAATCAAACGTTATTTTGCACCATAAGTTCTTTAGTACATTCTAATTTTGCTTCACAAATGATAATTTTAGTATAGACCGATAAGTGGCTCTACATTGACGTCATTCTTCTTAAAACCTTTCTTGCTCTTGATGGAATAAAGAGCGAGTCTTGACAAGAGACTATTCCTTCAAGTGCAAGCTAATTTTGGTGGTAAAATTTGTCAATCTATAAATAATAAAGTCTGATAAAACTATAGGTTGGAGTTAGTTTTTGGACGCAGTGTCGTCAGATATAGACCATATTATTCTCGTTTCAGCCGCTGTTTCAGTGCTGTCACAAAAACTTCCTAAACCTCTGCTAGAATCCGGCAAAGAGGTGACAGAACTGAATAGAATATGCAATTTCGTCTTTTAGTCAGTCCGATGTTTCAAGTTCCGTGTAACACGTCCATTACGTATCATCAAGCAATCGGAAAGACAGCGAATGAAATCAAACAAGAATGAAGTAGTTTTGTTGTCAGTCGGAAGTACATGTTTTTTAACAAAGTACAACAGTGGATAAGCAAAGCTTTGTGGAGAATACACCAAAGCATTGTTGGATACGAATTATATTTTTAAGTTTTTGTATAACAATTATGCGATATATCTTCGAGAAATAGAAACTTATGAATAATATTGTAGAACCTCTGTTGTTCTTTAAGGTTTCAGTGGTATTTAGAACTTAACGTAGATCCTTCTCAAAAGTATTGTAGATGCGAAAGAAATCGCACTTTTTCTCGATGGATACTCAATTGTCGAAAGAAATATGTCAATGTATTGTCAAGATATGTTTACTGACAGGGACGAAAAAAATATATATATACATGAGACTTTCGATCTGAGAGACTAGTGTTCAAAGCTCTCCTTTGAGTTTCTCGGGCTTCCTGTGGAGAGGAGAATAAACTCGTCCCCAGACTCGTTGTCTGCCATATATTTTAACACAGGAATCCCAATTATGTTCTGGAAAATAAAATGGATTAATTAAGAGTACGCTAAGACCTCTAAGACGCAAAGTTTTGCCATTTTGGACCACGTGACCGATTCTCTTGAAAATAAGATACTTATTAAAGATTTATTAATAAGATTCTTTGTTTAAGTTGTATATTCCATATTCATGTATCTCCTCGTGCGCTGCAGTCTTTCTCGTGGTTTGATATTACCCATTTCGAGGTTGAGAAAAAACTGGGTCGAGTTGATATTGCAGTGCATTGTGGGGCTGTTGAAAGGGGCAAATTTCCAAGATGGCGTCTTTCAGGATTCTGTCGCCTTAAACAGTCCCACAATGCACTGCAGTGCCAACCAGACTCAGTTTTTTCCTCGACCTCGGATTGGCTTATACAATGTGCGATGCGTTATATTTATGCATTGTATTTTCTACAAATATATGAATATAAAAACGTATTTGATGAAGAATCTATCAGAATTTATTGGTCAATAGAATTTATCGTTGACCGTGAACACTATTAGTAACTCATTATAACTCATTATTCACTGTAATACACTTGTAGTGAGTCATTCAACTGATGATGAACGATGGATATCATCCGAAATATCTTATTGAAAAAACTCCTAGTCATTGTTTTCGTATATGAACTTTTGGCCCAAAGAAACATTTTCAAACTCATTATAACAAATCATCACATTATTGTTATTATTGAGAATTAATTCACTCTAATACTGTGAATCGACCCTCGCCATCAACATCCGACGTACAATCCGATAACCCATCATTGTAATCTTCCTTTAGACCAACTCGTCTAGAATTTTTTTTGTCTTTGTCCTCTAAACTAACTTGGTGTAAATTCTGCGGTGATATTAGCGAGTTTATTCGGGATGTCCTTCTTGGCTGCCATCGCAACGAAGCCACAATACTTGCCTCACTTTGTAATCGATTTCTGTGAGTCGGTGAATCTGTCCTCGAGGATCCTTCAGAATCATCAGACCTCTCTGCCATTTCTTCAGCTCGTTTTCTCTCCTCTTCCATTTTGTTCAAAAGCTTCTTAAAAGCAACATACGCTTTGGAAAGAGCCACAACAGTTTGTTTTTTACCTTTCACTCTTACACCTTGAAGCTTTAGAAGATGGTTCCTCCAATCCTTTCCGCTGACTTTTAATTTCTCTTTCAAATGAGGGTACTCGAATTTCACTCTGAGTTTCTGTCGTCCCAGAGGGCTAGGCGAAGGCTCTGGAGGAACAGTGAACGAGCATTTGTCAAACACTATAGACCAGGAACGATCACGAGTGGAGTTTCGTTCTGACTTTGTTGGACTTGGAACAGTGGTCACGCTTCGAGGCTGTACTGGAGTGTGCTTTTGAGACTGAACTGCCTGTGATTGTCGTCTCAGGCTCCTAAAACTCGCTTCTACTCGTTGATTAGCGTCAATCACCGGCCTTGCTTCGCTTGGTTTCCTGGATGAGTACTGGAACAGTCTTGTCTGTTCGCTGCCACCCTCCGATTTCTCGAAGCTTTGTCTGAATGGCGATGCTGTTCGTGCTTCTTCTATCAGTTTTTGAATTTCAGCATCACGTTTAGTTTCTTCTTGTTTTGCTGATTTAGTTTCCCTGGACTCTTTCTTTTGTTTCTTTTCTTCTTCCTCCTCTTTTTCTTGCTTTGCCAAATTCTGCATCTTTTCTGACATTTCTTTGTAGCGAAAAGCCAGCCTTCGGCAACACTCGCAGCGCTTCAAAACATTCACATTAATTCGTTTTTCTAGCTCCAGTTCAGTGTCTTGTCCTGGTCGTTGCCTCGAAAGCTGGCTCTTTACCGGCCTACAAATAAGATCACTCGTGTGTACGTCTGCAAATCGCGGTAAAGGAGGCATATGGCTTAGTACTTTAGTCTTCCTGCGACCAATGTCTTCTTTGACATTCGGAATGCTAGCCAACTCCTTATAAAGTGCATTTTTATGACTGTACGATTCCTTTAAGTAGACTCCTCTTTCTCTCTCAATTTGATGACCAATTTGCGATATCTTTTTTCCTGTTCGTCGAAAGATTCTGAATACATCGTCTGTCATTGATGTTTGGCGTTTGTTGTTGTTCTTTTGCACCATCAGGAACGCTGTGGAGCTCTCGAAAGCTGTACTGTTGCTAAAACTAGCCGGTAGCTTTGTAGTTTCTGTCATATTGAGGTTGTTTAATTCCCTTCTATGAACTTTGACTTTTTCTAATTAATTTGGTATTTTTCATGACCCCTTGAATCAACTTCTTTTGTGCAGCTTTATAACGTGCTCAAATTATTTCTACATCAACTTGTGGTCGTATTTGATCAAATCGTTTAAAATCGGACACCAATAAAATGGTAAAAAAAGTCAGGTTTCCATGCGTTTCAAAAGTGCAGTAAGGCCACCATTGACGTTTTTTGGAAAGTTCAATTTGCTTGTACGTAGTTCTCTTTGTTGACACTTTAATGTCACATTCAAGCACCTAGTAACTCCAGGTCTTTGTCAGCACCAATGATCCCTTTGTTTGGCAAAGCTTCTTTGAAAACGTTCTATTTGCACAAGCCTGTGAAGTAATCCACAAACTACTATATATCTCAAAGTACTTTCAACACAGTGTCTGAAGGGAGATTCTTCCAGTTTTTGGACTAGCCAGTAGCACTTACTCAAATTACCTTGGTGATGCCCATGACCAAACTATAACTGTGAAACACTTGTTGGATATTTGTTGTGTCAGTAAAATAGGTGATGCAACCATGTACTTATATCTTGACAAAATTATTATTTCTTTTTTTCTACTTTGGATTCTTCCCTCTAGTTTCCTCCAGTTTCGTCCAGTGATACTAGACCAAGTCGTTCTCTATGATAGTTTTCTGTTTCCTTGCACGTTGCTCAGAAAAGTTTTGTTGTTCAAAAATGATGCATCAATATACTACAAGACTTTCAACTAAAACAATTCCTCGGATAATGAGAGCAACATGGTGGAATCCAGAAGGCTTCTCTTCGTAAATTTCTCAAATTTTCAATGTACATAATAAAGGAAAAAAGGCCATAAAAGCAACTAACAGGGTTAATAACCTAACTAAACAAACAATTACCGGTCCTAACAAAACCAAGAAGATGCTAATTCCCTTTGCCATCCGGTCCCCAGAGACGCTTCCTTAAGCCCAAAGATTTCCACTTAATTCTTGCCGTGTGAAGACAATGAAGGCAGAAATCTAGTTCTACAGAAAAAAACACATGTTTTAAAAGTTTATTGTACTGTGAGATTAATATAAATGCAAGCAAGAGGCCTCTTATTGTTTTGGAGTTTGTTTTAATGATCTATAAGGAAATATATAGCCATCAAACCGGATTTCGATAATCAAGAAGAAAACAGCAACTAAAAATACTCTCTGTGCCGTTTTACTGACTCCACGAAAGGCTTTTTTGTTCGTTTGTCAGTATTAGAAGTGAAAGATGATTCGCAGCAACTCAGAAGTTGAATAACTTTCAGAAGAATTGTCAAGCATTCCTTTTTAAAAGACACCGTTTATTGCAATGAGTGCAGCAACTGAGCAACATCCTTGGTATCACGATGTGTGCTAGATCGCGTAAGACTAACTTTATGGTATTAAAAACCGACAACAACGAACAGCCTTGCCTAGTTTTGAATTCAATTTCTTTTTTGAAAGTGTAACTTGATATCTTCGGGAAAATAAAATGAATATACCCTCTGGAAAATACTTCAGCACTTGATATATAGCCATTTTCATCTTGTAATTTCCTGTTCTTCCTCCTTCTCCTCCTCCTCCTTCTCCTTCTCCTTCTCCCTCCTATGATTGCTCTTCTTCTTCCTTCACCTTACTTTTCTTACTAGTTTACCTCTTCTTTCTCCACCGTTTCATCTTTGTGAAGTGTAATTTGATATATACATTATATATTCAGTTTTTGTACAATTTAAGATGTCTATCCTCCTGACGTAAAAAAAGACTCCCAACCATGTACAACGTCGCTATTATCATCTTCCATCACCTCAGTTCTGAACGTCACCATTTCTGCAGCTGCGCGAATAAAACGCGCAATGAAATGATGTTACAAACGTGCGTTCCTCTTCCAGTCTTTACTTTACGTCTGCATCACCACTTGCTGTTCGAATTTGTGCCAGAATTGTTCATGAGTTGGTTCCTTTATGCGATACGATATAATACAATATGCTTTATTCATTAATGCTTTATTGATTTATAAATT